ATTTTCTAATCATCTAATTTGATTCCATGTCTCTGAGAAAAAGAATATGTATCTTTTAAGGAACTGTTCAATGACAAAATCATTTTGGAATTAAGAAAACTTTTGAGACTATTGTTGGAATCAAACATTTGCGCGCAGTTTATGCTATGATCAAGAAAATCCTCGAAATTCGATGGGATTCCCCTTTGATCCACATAGAAAGTTGTATCTGATTGAAAGGAACTCAATTAACCTCGACAATTTCTTCGAATCTCTTCTCAAAAAATGATCGCACTGGATTTGGACCAATTCGTTTCGCGAATTCCTCAATCGTTTCACCTTTCCGATACTGTTTCACAAGCGATTCTCTATAGGTGCTTTCAAACCATGATGGTGTGTTCAGTATGACAACACTCATTACATTATCATCGTATTTCAGTTGAACACCTTTTTGTACAATTGCATTGTATGATCCTACCTTAACACATTTATTCGTCTTATCATAAGTTGAGCGCTTTTTGTTCAGCTGTGTAAGCTATTGATCGCAAATCAAATCAAAGCAGATGCTGTTTCTAAACTTTTATGATGCTTTCAAATTTGAGGATGGATCTAAATCCAACGAACTATTCATCCTTCACAAGAGTGCTTGTTTTTAATCAAATCGGTAACGACAACGAATCGCAACCCTGAAATGATGCCATTCAAAGCCATCTTGCTCAGCCAAGAATCTATTGAGTGTAGCGAAGATTTTCCGCTCATCTGGTGAACTGCTAATTGGCGTGAATACAGAGTTGGTGGTAGACATATGACGTCTTGACGCTGATTCCGCGCAGTTTGACAAGATGATGTTCGACGTTCGAGTTGCTTTTGAAGTTGGCTTGATGCAAAAATATGGACCAATTTTCGAAGAAGATGGCCTCGTGAATAGACGACAGTTCTCTTGTGAATGTAGCAATGCTATAGAAGCGTAGAATGGATGGAAATGAACGCTATATTTTATCGGTAAACTCAAAAACANTTTTGAAGTTGGCTTGATGCAAAAATATGGACCAATTTTCGAAGAAGATGGCCTCGTGAATAGACGACAGTTCTCTTGTGAATATAACAACGCTATAGAAGCGTAGAGTGGACGGAAATGAACGCTATATTTTATCGGGACACTCAAAAACATTTCCGCCGTTATCTGGAAGATGATTTTCATCAAAAATGAAAACAAGCAATGTACAGTGAAAATTCAACGAAATATCATCAAACTTCGTTATTATTAATTGGACATCGAGTGGCTGTTTCGTCAATCGCAGTGAGTGATCGGCGGAATACTTATTAGGGTAATGATTATTTATTGACTTGGTATTTGACTGCGTTTGATTATGCAAAGTATTCACAACGACTAATTATTTACCCGGTTGTGTTCGGTTGGC